CGAACCGGTCGTTTTGGCTTCTAAGTCCGTTCTTAGACTTAGAACCACCTTTCAACCCCTCATTCTACATTTCTAAAAGTGTAGAATGATTCTAAGTGTTCTTAATATGATACATATCTCATATGATGGAAGAAAAATAAAGGAAAAGTTAATATAAGGTCATTACCTTAATTCTTCTCACTTTTTCCTTCTCAAACCTCCTTCTTTGGACCAATTCCTCTTGAGCTCGTGCTGCAACAATGGAGGTGGTTTTGAGAGCTTTCTCCTTCCTTTCCTTGATGCTTTGGTCGAGCTTAATGATAGGGTGAGAGAGAGTACACCCTTTTGTCTCAAATGACAAATAAGTGTGGGATGGGAGCTCACCTTTGTCCTTAGATGTCTCTCAAGTCAAACCCAAACAACCCCCTTCTCTTCCTTCCTTTCAGCCGTCCAAGACATGGCCTTGAGTGCATTATTTCGTGGGTTGGCCCCCACACATGTGGGAGGTCATCCGTTTAAGTTCTGAAGTGTACAATCGGTCCCGAAAGTTGTATTTTTCGGATTGTTTTAAATATATTTTATTTTATCGGGTCAAATAAAATATATTATGTGCTCTTACTCATTATAACATTTATAATGAATATACATTCCTAACTTTTAATTTATAAGCCTCCGAAATTCATTTCCGGGTTGTTATCTGTTAAATTGTCGGTACCGGTATTTGGGCCTCTTTTGCCCAATCGGTCAACTCCGGGCCTTTCCACGCCCCAAATAAAATATCCACCACCATATAAATATTATCTTCACCAAGATGAATAAAATATGCGGTCTCGGGAAAGTTGGGTGGTCCCCGCCCCCGATGTGGGTCCCACGTGCAATTTACTATTCACGCGAAAGAATTAATAAAAAGAATTTACAACTTCATAAATTCATTGATCATTTCATAGTGTCTAATACAATATTACTAAGAAGTAAATATAATTCGGGTACGGTGTTACAATTTTCCTTCACATTCAATTAATCAATTGTCACATACTTTTGAGCTCAGTTTCGACAAGTATTTCCTTTATATTTTCTAGTATATTTAGTTTCCAAATGAGGAGTTAAACCCTTCCATCTTAGTTTTATTGCATTGAAGCTTATGATTTTTATAAATGAGGAGACAAGTATTTTTATGATTTTTGTCATATAATTAAAAAGAGGAGAGGAGAGAACCTCTCCCACGCATGAGATTTCAAAAAAAAAGGATGACACCTCATCCCCGAGGGCCCTCAACCCCGACCGGACGGTACGTTGAGAGGATGTAAATTGGACTTCAAATCGAAAATTTGCACCCGTGCGACGGCTTTTTAAAAGATTATTTTGCTTGTCCCAAGAGATCATTTTGCCTGTCCCAAAAGATCATTTTACCTTTTTCTCTCTTTTTTGTGGCTGAAAACTTTTCGAGTAAACTTTTTAGATGGAGTTTTCAGACATCCTCCAGGGCAGAAGGTCTCCATGAGATGGGAGGATGGCATTAGGTGGTGGGGAATGACTCGTGGAGAAGGATGGAAGATCGCTCGGTCAGGAGTGTACGAGAGGCAAAATGCATTTTGCCCAAAATAAGACTAAACCATTGTCAAAATTTTAAAATAGAAATATAATTTTAATATTCCCTAAGGGTATGTTTGGGAGTTTGGAGGGAAGGGGAGGGGAAGGCTTTAGAGGTATGTTGTTGGAGGGGAAAGGGAGGGGAGGGTGAAGAAGCTCTTCTTTGTATTTGGGAGTAATAAATTTGGAAGAAGAGAGTTTTTGAATGAATTATAATTAAAATTACTTTGAGATATGACGAATTTAAATAATTGAACTGATATTTATTTTTAATTGAACTTAAATTATCATTTCATTAATTATCCTTCAAAACCCTCCAAATTGGAAGAATTTAAAAATTAGGCATTTAAAGAGTTTTGGAGGATCATGAAAGCCCTCCAAAACCATCCCCTCCAGTTTTATAAACTCCCAAACATGAAAAGGAGGGTTATAACCCCCATCAATCTCCCCCTCCCCTCCAAAACCCAACTCCCAAACACACTCTAAATAGATATGCGATCTTCTTCCCTAGAGACCTCATGACAAGTTCACATGAGATTTACTAGCAGCTCAATTTCTCTGAACCTTAAAATATATGTAGATTGAGTTACGATCTGTCGGCCAATTACTAGCCGCTCAATTCCTGTAAGAAGAAGGATGAGAAGGATGAGCAGAAGGAGAAAAAAAGGCAAAACTTACATTATTATGTATTTTTTTAATTAAGATGGCATTCCCCCTGGAGGTCTGGAAAAACATACCGAAGGGCAGAGCCTTGCCGGAGAATGATGGCAGGGAACTCGACCAGGTGCAGTGGCGGTGGCTGCAGATTTGATGGAGCGTGGCGGTGGATGAAGATTTGATCGATGGAGGGTGGCGGAGGCGCCATTGGCTGCCGACCGACTGACAGCGGCAGTATGTGCGTGTTAAATATAATTTTACGCTTATCTTTTGGGGAACAATTTCTCATTCATTTCAAAATGATTTTTACAAATAATATTAAAGACAATAATATTAATTTGTAAAACCATTTTTTTACAACAATTTTTGTCCAATAAAACATAACAGTCTTATTTTTGCAATTCTACTTTGTTTTAGTTCTATTTAACAAGAAATAATGCCCTCCGTGTTACTACTACACTTTTGCATTCCAAAAGTAGGACCTTTTTAATATTTTCCACATAAGTGACTTGTTCTCATGATCCGCCGCTTCGTTGCCTCACCATAGAATTTTCGTCGCCTTCAATCCAACCCCCTCTCCTGCGTCCAATTGCTCACCGGTCAACTACCAGTGCCGACGTGCATCCTCCGCAGCCCGTCGCAGCCCCCCTAGTCAGAGCAGCTCACGAGTGCACCCCGGTAAGTCATTGTCCCCATCGCCTTTTCTGATTCTCCCTTCTTCACCTCCTATTCGAATTGGTGGGCCAATAAATTTGGGGTTATGGAAATACATCTGAGTTCCTTCTGGCATGGCGAGCGACGTCGATTTTTGCCGAAGACGTCCGGCCTATTGCAATGGACGAGACCGGTTTTCAACAACCGTCTATGATGACTACCTACGACAGATCGGCGATTCAGGTTCGAGCAGAAACTCAACAATGTTGGGATGTAGAATTAGGTCAGGTGAACGTGCGATTGGGGACATAGGCAACATGTAGGGAATGAGCGGATGATTTTGGGCTAGTAATGGGGACTGCGAGGCTTTGAGGGGGCTGCGGAAATTGGGAGGGGTGGAAAAGGGGATGAGTGCAAGGGCCTGGGGCAAAGAAGGGGGTCGAGACAGAGGAGGGGGTCGGGAAAGGTTTGTGTGCGAGTTTGGGGCCTTGGGGGTGTGGTGCAGTGGAGGAATGCAAGTGTTGTAGTGGGTGGGAGCTGGGTGTGATGGTTGAATGCGGCTTTGCAGACTTGCAGTGGCTTCTGGGGTTGGGGGAGGGTTGGGGGAGGGCTGAGGAAGGTTATTGGTAGGTGACAGCCACCACAATGAGATTCGATAGTGACATTAAATTTGATCAGTGACATTAAAATGTGGTAATGATATGAATATGATTACTTTAGTCATTTTTTTGTTCAAATATAAAAATGATTATATTTTAGGAAATCACATTTAATTGAGTAATGTTGAAGGAATAACCCCATTTAACAAACTCTCTATTTTATGCTGTCAGCTTCGTATACTTTTATTCTAATATCATACTACCTCCGTTCTTAAATAAATGCAACACTTTGACTTTTACACTATTCACATGTTCTACTTTGACTACGTTTTATTTATTAATGTAATAATATTATTTTATGAAAAAAAATATTGTTAAACTTGTCTCATTGTAAATTTTCATAATCTAATTTTTTAAATTTTTTTTACTAATACAAAATCATTTATGTTAATGATCAAAGTTGTGTCTCGGCAAGTGTGAAATGTTGACTGTTGCATTTATTTAAGAACGGAGGAAGTAATATATAACGTCTTTAAGCTTATCCTAATATCCTAATAATGTCTGAACCGATCATCTTCGGATAGTCTACGCCTGACTGCCTGTCTGCTTCCCATTGAAGCAACAAATTGATATCCACAACTTTCTTTAAGCTTATCCGAAAGCAATCATGCGACATTTCATGAATTACTACATGAAAATGCTTTTATTTACTTGAAATTGTTTCTTAAAAATGCACATTTGAGCGTATAAACTCACATAAATACGTATTTCGATAATCAATAATCACTATATTTATCATTTTTATGTATTTATTTAATGAATTTTATCATAAATATTATTCAAGTAAATTTATTTAAAAAATGTGACTATTAGTTGCTACTCCGTATAATATACACCGTACGTATTATCATTGTTACTTAAGCATAATAATGAAAATAATTTACTATGATTAAATTATTATTATAATCAATACGCTTAGAGTAAACCAGATGTGTAATTAGTTCTTATTTGATTACAAATTATGGAGTATTTTTTATAATACCCCCTTCGTCCTACGGTAAGGTTCTCGCTTTCCTTTGGATCAAAGGTTCTCACTTTCCTTTTTGAGACTTCCCATATAAATTAAAGAATATTACTCATAATAGGACTAAAAAGGTTTGAAAATTCCAAAATAGGTCTGTCATGTTTTTATTCCCAAAATAAGACTAATTACTGACATGTTTTGACAGTAATTACTGCCAAGTTTAGAAAATACTGTCATGTTTGAAGTCTTGTACTGTCAAAACATGTCAGTAATTAGTCCTATTTTGGGAATAAAAACATGACAGTCCTATTTTGGAATTTTCAAATTGTTTTAATCCTATTTCGGGACTCTCTATAAATTAAAAGTTCTCATTTCCATTTTAGGAAATAATTAACAATCTTAAGTGACAAATTAATCATTAAACATTAATAATAATACATTTATAACAGTTATCAATACTAACTATATTATTATTAAAATTATTTCTCAAAATCTACTCGAAATACTTTATTAAATTATTGTCTAAATAACTGTGCCGCTATGCTATGAGAACCTTCCAACGGGACGAAGGTAATATATTAAAAATTATATTAAGAAAAATTATAAAATTTGGGTTAAATTACAATATTAATTTTTTACTACTCCGTAATAAATAAAATAACCAATTAAATACATTAATGATAAAATTGTAAGAAACATTCTAAACATTACCAAGTGAAAACATGTTCTGATATGATCTACCATTTAAGACATCCTAAAACAAGTCGTCTATGAACAACTTTATATTACCTCAAATTACTTACACCAATATACAAATTTCAACGCTTCAATATATAAGTTGGCATGGGATTAAGAGAAGAAGAATCCACAATATCGATGGATCGGATAGATTCAAAATTCAGTTCGATTCCGATCAGCTAACATGGGAGAGAGATCCCAAATCCACGTTGTTGGCCGCCGCCTTTGCAGGCATGGAGTTTGAAGTCTTGAAGCATGAAGATGAAGTGGTGGCCGAGCGGTGGAGCCGGCACCGGAAAGATCCTTGGTGGGTCGTCGGCGAGCAGAGGCAGCGTTGCCCGCCCTTCGGTGAGTTCGCCGGGATCTCGTCGCCGTTGGGACTTTTGGGAGATATGATGGAGGAGTCCATAGTAGCCGGAGTAGTATTGGCCATGATTTCTTCGTTATACTCGGTACTGCGTATTCTGCAACTGCTAGAGACAGATGATATTTATAGAGAAATAGATAGTATTAAATACTCGTAGAAAATACATACTACGTATTTCTCTTAGGGTAGTGTACAACTCTCGATATAAATATAATCCCTCCCGGCCAAAAAAATTATTTGCAATTAGCGTGACATGCCTATTAAAAAAGTGGTGATAAAATGAAATGTATATTTGTAGTTGATTAAGAAAGAAGTAAATGAATGTTTTTGGAATGGAAAAGACTATTTTTAGAACATCTCAAAATTGTGGTTTAATAATACTTAGGTGTATTTCCTTCGTCCAAACTTAGGTGTATTTCCTTATTTTTATAGTGCATAATTGCATATACAAAATTTATGCGGTGGGATATCTGGGACATTGGTTCAAATTTGTTTTATAAATTTCATGTTCCCTTATATACATACGATAATATAAATTAAATGTTTGCACTTGCACTCATATACATGTATTTTACAAGAACACTTTCAAACAACCATAGGTCCGCTTAACTGATTAAGTGAGGACAAAGCATATTTGTAGAAGGAAAATACATAGTGTCATAATAACTTAATTTTAAAAATTTTAATATAAATTATTTTGATTTCATTACTATGTTAATCAATAGTCACATTTATCTAAACAATTTTTATTTTAATGGCGTCATTTAACCTATCCACCGGGATGAATGGAGAAGAGAGAGGTGGAAGTGAATTAAATGGGCGAGGACGGAGACGCTTGTTTGACGGAGATAAACTAATGAAACTATTAGCCTGACCCTTATTCGTGCTTATAAGTTTGTAGAAATGATATTAATACTAATATTTAGTATAATACATGTTCGTGCACAGTAATCAATGTTAATGTGAATGGACACATGCTTTGTTGGTAAAGTGTATGAATTTTTCTTAGATTATCAACAATGCTTCGGGTACACAAGTTGTGTGCACAACTTGTACACAAAATGTCGGTCACGGACAATTGGTACGAAATTGTCTATGGACACAGACAAGAGTTGTCTGTGTACACAGATAACTTTTGTCAGTGTCCACGGAAATTTACTTTTTTGTAAAAAGTAGACTGACAGCCGTCTGACACTGACACCAGCTTGCAAATCAATCAATATATGTGCAATGCCTGTGTGCACAGACAATATTTTCATGTTGCACAGACAATTATTTACCACACAGACAATAGTTGTGCGTCTCACAGACAATAGTTGTTGGTGTGATCAATTTCAATTATCTAGGTGAACAAAAAATTTAATTGTCTATATATATCCAAATGAATGATGTAGTTGTATGTGTGATAAATTTACATATATTTGAAAAAAATAAAAAAATAATAAAAATAGATGGAATAAAATGAATAAAATGATTTTGTGGAAATAATATAAAAAAAATTGATATAAAAAGGTAGAGAAAAAGAGAATGAAGAAGGGATGAGGAAGATGAAGAAAGGAAGATGGTCTCTAATTTTTTTTTGAGATATTCGAATGGAGGAAAGAGAGAATTGAAGGGAGAGGGGGAAAAGAGAATAGAGAGAGAAGGGGGAGAAGGAAATGAGATTTTTTTGGGACCTTTTATATGGTGTACACTTTGTGTACACCATATGTACACTTAGCATTTTCCTATTTTTTAATACACCAGTTCTCGACGCGTGATGCGCGTGTGAGAAAATGCCCAATATCATTTATTACATAGAACAATGCAATTGTTAAGCATACAAAAGTAACAAAACCATGCAATCGTCTAAATGATATCTATGCTAGAAAGACACCTGGTGTGTTAATAATAAGATCAGAAGTAATAATTGATGGTATACATATATTGTTGGGTGTGAAACCATTCCAATCACGTGCGGGATGAGACTTCATAAGTATAAGGATGAGAGAAATTAGTAAAAGTCAATTCATCTTACAACATAGGATAAAGATAAATGAAATGGTAGAAACATATTCACATATGACCAAATAAAATAAATAGAATGTATTTTTTTCTTTATACTGAACACACATTATGTAATTTTTTATCGGGAAATGTTGAATAAATACATTTGTCGGGAATAAATGTTTAGAAATACATTTTTTATCGAGAAATTGTAAATGTTTTCGTAATGAATAAATGAATAAATAATTACATTTGTAGGTAAATGGTGAATAGAGTTTGTATAGGACACGAATCCATACAACAGGTAATGGTATTACAACATACACCATTCATCCAGTCTTGTTTATCTCAATTTTTTATAATATTTTTCTCACTGTATTTGGTTTTAATACTCTCTCGGTCTCTCTCAATAATCCATATGTAATACTAATGTTGCAATTCTGCTTTTTCTTGGTTTACTTGCCATGTAAACTCCTAATATAATATCATTCGTGATAGGCTACTACTATATCAGGCAAAAAAAATTGCATTCTCAATAATAATAGAATAAAAACAAACTCCTCATTGCTATTAATATCTATATGAAAATCATGATATACATAAAAGATTTACTGCAGCAGCAACAACATCTTTAACAATCAGCCAGTCACTACTCTCGATCAAAACATATTGTAGGTTCCATAAGCGAAATTAAAATTAGAATTAATCTAATAAGATTTTGTTATAAGTTAGATAATTTCCTTATTTAAGAAAGCTTTTGAAAACCCTTAGAGAATGAATCTAAGATTGAGCCTACCATTGACCTACATAGAAGTATTTGGAGGGCCAACACATCCTAAATTACACCTTGTCATTGAGAATAAGTATGCATCACAGTAAAATGATTGTTTTATATACATCACAATAATCAAACTGATGCAACTTTAAAAAGCTCTAAAATATATTCTTAAGAATACCAATAGACTCTGCAAAATCAGAACTTGGATATAAAATATATACTCCATAAATCGGCAAATTGGAAAAATAAGAGAATAAACCAAGCAGTTGGCTGTAATGCAAAAATAGGAACCTCAGTGGCGTTTCACAAATTCACACTTTATAAAAACGGGCCCAATAAAATATATTATCTGCAGAGTGGTGTTTCAGATTATGAATTTTATACATCTCTCTAACCCAGTGCCATTACACCCCTGAAACTTAAAGATAGAGTAAAAAACTGAGGTCTAAAGTCAGGTATATCCATTTTAAATAAAAGTATGAGAAGCAAAAAAATAAAATACAAAATGAACATAGCAGACTCATCTGAAATATGGAAATAGATATATAGAAATAATATACTTATCTGAAATAGATTGAAGATTTACTCATTGATGACAAAAACCATGTTTGTTCCAGTAAGGGAAAATATGTTCCTCTATCATATTGTTCATTTCATCTACTAATTTAAGGGGTATTTTTTTGGTCATATAGAGCTATTTGTTTTTACGAAATATAAAAGTTGACAATTTTGGGAAAAACATTGATAAGTTCGTATTTCAACACGCTTTTAATGCGTGTTGGAGTCGGATTTTGATGGTTTTCCTCGCTTTAAGGCGTCATAAGTATCATGTTTAGCTCAAGTCATGTTAGTCGGGTGTTGGAATGAGTTTAGGCATTTTTAGAGATGAAATCAGGTCTTTTAGGGCCCGGTATCGGCGCTTAAGGAGTGATCGGGACGAGTTGAGGAGTGTTCGAGAATGGATTCAAAGTTTTGAAGGGCACCGGGAGATTCACGATGAAGATTTGATGAAGGAAGAGCTGTTCGATTGATCGCGGGGCCAAACAGGGACTTGAACGGGAGAAAATGAGGAATTCGGAAGGAAAAAGGCCACACACGGCCGTGCGTGCATGGACGCACGTGTGCGTCCAATGAAGAAAATCGAGCATACCCTACTGGCAGCCACGCACGCGTGCGTGGCTAGGGACGCACGCATGCGTCCCTCTTTTTTACGCGGTTCTCACTGGGACGCACGGACGCCACACACGCGTGCGTGGGCGCCGTGCGTACCCAAATCCTTTCCTAATTCAGCCCAAATTGCCTTGTTTCCTATATATACCACCCCTAACCCTAATTAAAAGGGGACGGACTTTAGAGAGCTGATTAAGGACGAGAATTAGAGATCTTTTCAGCCAGGTTTTTCAATTCCTTAACATTCTTTGTAAGTTTCTACTTTTTAATTAATGACAATTAATTCTATTCTTCCCAATTCTATTGATTCTTCAATTATGAGTAGGGAGTAGTTTTAATTAGAGATTTGGGATTGATGAAGGGGTTAATCATGATGTATGGCTAGTTTCTTGATGGTTTAATTGCATGAATGTCGTTTAATTTGTGTTTGAATAATTTAATTGATATCTTTTGTAATCTGGAACCGCGGCTAGAATTACAATTGCACATAGAATAAATTAAGAGAGATCTAGTTTATTCTAGGACACATTCACACACACTTAATCGTGCGCTAAGAGATTAGTAGCGATTAAGGGGCCGTAAGCTCGCTCGTCTTGGCAATAATTTAGGATCATGTGGCATGAGAGATCAGCCTGGTCCCCTAAATTATTGTACTCTACGTCGCGAGAGCGGTAAGAACTTAGTATTGATTAGCTAGGCTCAATTAAATTAATTTCATGTAATTAAGCCTGATCAGCCAGAAATCTGATTACCCTGGAATCAATCCCTGCTCCCATCGCCGTTAATTAGAGAGAACCCAATCTTTTATTTTAATCGATCATTCGTATTAGCTTAATTTCAATTCAACCAACCAATCTCACACGACACATTTGTTTTATCTATTTTTAATCGCTGAATTTAGTTAATCTTTAATTCCCTTTTGTACGTCCCTGTGGAGACGATACTCGTACTTTCACCACTATTCAACTATTAATTTAAGTGCGAGAAAACTCACATCAAACATCTTGTAGCTAAATAGACCAACTGAGACAAAGATTATGTTGGAAAGAATCCTTTTCCATTACGTTAACTATGCATACAAGTATTGGATTACTCATATTCAGATTCTTGATAGTAACACAAAGGTGTCATAAGAGGTTACTCTTATTGGTTGATTAAGGTAT